CTTTAGTCTCTAGTTCTGGTGGACTGGCCGGGTTGAGTTCCGTCTGACAGGATCCAGAACCAGTTTTGGGTCTCTGATCTCTAGTTTTAGGTCTCTGGTCTCTAGTTTTGGTAGTTTGGTGGACTGGTGTCTGGTTTTCTGTAGACTGGTCTCTGGTTTTGGGTCTCTGGTCTCTAGTTTTAGGTGAACTGGCCGCGTTGAGTTGAGTCTGATGGGATCCAGAACCAGAACAAGTTTTGGTTCTCTGGTCTCTAGTTTCTGGTGGAGTCCCCCTCCAGGCCTCCGGGGGGCGCTAGGCCCCGGTGGTCCTCCGGGGGGCGCTAGGCCCCGGTGGGCTCGTGCAGCTTGCGCACGTGCTTCTTGAGGTCGAAGTTGCGGCAGAAGCCCTTGCCGCAGGTGGGGCAGGTGAAGGGCTTCTGGTCGGTGTGCGTGTGCATGTGGAAGGTGAGGTTGTAGACCTGGTGGAAGGCCTTGCTGCACACTGAACACTTGAACTGCTTCTCCCCGCTGTGCGTCAGCTTGTGGTTCTTGTAGTTCCCTGTTCGGGGGAACCGGAGAGAACCCACAATGCATCAGGTTAATTATTATTTCATTCATTTATTTATTTATTTATTTATTTATTTATTTATTTGTATTCTTTAAGTTCTTTCTTTCTTTTTTATTTATTATTTATTTATTTTTCATGTATTCATTCATTCTTTTATTTATTTATTTTTTATTTAATTTATTTATTTTAATTCTTTAATTTGTTTCTTTCTTTTGTATTCATTATTTGTTTATTTATTTGTTAATTTATTAATTTATTATTTCATTTATTTATTCATTTATTTATTTAAATTCTTTAATTTCTTTCTTTCTTTCTTTTTATCTATTTATTTATTTTTCATTTATTCATTTATTTATTGATTTATCTATTTATTTATTTATATCTTTATATTTATTTATTTATTTGTTATTTTTACTTTTTATTTATTTATTTAATTTTTATTATTTATTGTTTATTTATGTTAGTATTTCATGAGTCCTCTGTTTCAGTGACAAAAACACTGAAACATCTTAAATCTTACCACAGAGGAATCATAAATAACCATAAAACTTTGCAGAAATGTGTGTGCACCATGCACATTTAAGTATGTAATTTAAAATAACATGAGACATCACTAATTAAGATATCATACATTAAGATATAATTAATTAATATATCATGAATTAAGATATAAATGAAGATATTATAAATGATCAGACATTTAGCTGCAACATTTCAGAGATGTTCACTCTCAAATCACTCATTTTTTGGACCAATACACACATTATTTTAGTAGTCTTTCTATATCATTTTGCAGCCTAATTTATGTCTAACATCATATTTACATTGAGTATAATTTTAATAAAACTGACACAAAATCACAATTCTTTTTAAAACACAAAACTTCACAACTCAAACTGTAAACTCAGGTTATTGTGAGGGGACAAAAAAACATTACAAGGAATATGAATGTAAAACTTTGAAATGTTTGGTTGTGCAGGATAACAGGACCAAGATATGTTTAAGGCTGAAAGTACAAAAAACCCAGACATAATTTACACACATTATATTACAGAATAAAGGACAGAGATCAGGCTCACCTTTCTGGTGGAATCCCTTCCCACAGAACTCACACACGAAGGGCTTGTACCCGGCGTGGATGCGTGTGTGTGTGTTGAGCGTGGAGCTGCGGTTGAAGGCTTTCCCACACTGGTTACACTTGTGAGGTTTTTCCTGCGGGACCGAACCAAAACACTGTTACAGATACAGAAAATATCCATATATAATATCTATCCCTAAGGAAAATACCTATATATAATGTCTATCCCTAAGGAAAATACCTATATATGATGTCTATCCCTAAGGAAAATACCTATATATAATGTCTATCCCTAAGGAAAATACCTATATATA